ACCCTTCTGGCCCTTATTCATGTTACTATCACATACATGCCTTAGATCAGAGTCTTAAGATGAGTTATTAAACAATTTTACTTTATCAACTGCAGCAACTAGAATTTTAAACATGATTGGACTTCTCTCTGATTCAAATATTTCAATAGTTGATGTGATGTTGATGCCTACGTTATACCTTACATTCTGTAAGTTTCTCAACTTCATTGACAACCATGTCTGATGTTAGCTTACAGATGCTATGAGACATTTTGAATCTTGATGAATTATGAGCAAGAAATTGATTGCCTGACTGATGATGCACAACAATTGATCACTGTATAAACCCAACGTTTAAAAAACTTTACAGGCCACCATACCAGAAAAGTATTTTGTATTCCTCTCAAACATAGAAATTAATGAACTATCACTGAAATGACAACTCCCATCTTGGGTCATGATGGCAGAGACTAAATGGACGACATAATTTTGACACCAGGTGCATTGCAGAAACTCTGCAGGATAAAAAGGAAAGAAATTTGACAGAAAAAAATATAACTGGCAGCATTTCAGTGCATTTCTTTCCACGATTCATGGCCAAGCGCAGATGTTTTGTAACGTCACATTCAATTCATGTAAACATGACTTCAAACGGCTTCCTTGCCAAATAGACTTTGACAAGTCAAAACTCAACCTGGCACCTCTCGCAGTTGGCAGCAAGGAGGTATTAAACCGCAACACCTCTAATTTGCATAATTTCCTGCCAATAAAAAGGACAGGAAATCCTCTCTCTTCTCCGACAAGAGCTGTCATTTTAGTGATACACCTACAAATATAACTTCATCTGAATTCCTCTGCTTGGAGTGATGTAACCAAATAACATGGCACAGTTGTGTCTTAAAGACCATCCAACACCTTCAATCTAACTGTGACAAGACTTTGGACAAAATTTATGCAAATAAAAAAAGTATTAGAGAAGTAAAGATAAGCCTCATGTGTGACAACTTCTTGATTGAGATGCTAGTTTACATTTATAAACCAAAATTGTAGTTTTGTAACTTTTTTGTCTGAGAAATTAAGAGTCGGTTCTAAATCAGTTAATATCGGACTAAAGATAATCACACATCTGTATTCAGATTTACAGCTGACTGGGCCTTTTCCAGGACACCAAGTCTTACAATACCCACATTTGTTATGTCTTAATTAAAGAACATCAATAAGGTGCATTGAGAAAAAAAAATCATTATGAAATGTTGACAATTGGAAATTGGAAAAAAATTATCCCCCAAAAATGCAATTTCCCCAAAATCTTGTCATAGTTAGCATGGAAGGCATCGGGTAGTCTGTGTATAAAATACATCCTGATTAAACATTATTCAATCTTTAACCTTTACCCAACTACAAATACGACTACAAGTTCTAAAGAGGTAGTATCTTGTTGCTACTATTACTTTTCTTCCTCCACGATAGAAATAACAGCATTTTTAGCTTTCACAATCACATTTACTGGAACAACAGACATGGCACATCATAAGTAAACCTTGAATCACAACCAGAAAAAAAAGTATATCCAAAACACATTTTTACCCTTTTTTGTAAATATCTAGGCAAGATGAAAAAAGACCATATAATGGTATCTAAACTTTTCTTTAAAGATAAAAGAAAGAAAAAATCTCATTCATCAATTTTCTTTGCTTCCAGAAAGATTCAGGAATTTTCAAATAAGTTTACTCAGCTAAAAATGGTATTGATATAATCTATTAAAATTTAATCTAGAAGCTTTGGAAACAATGCATGTAAAACATGAATAAATTCATTTCTGGAAGATAATACAAGCAAAAGATATAACCCGATTCCTGAAAAAGGTATGGTGAAGAAGAAAATAAATCAATGTAATACCAATGAAGACAGAAAGTAACACATATACCCTTCTAGACTGATTGATTCAAAGAAAACTAGCATATTAGAAGAGAAATAGCTATTTCACTATAAAAGGATTCAAAGAAGGTTCAAAGAAAGCCAAATCTATAACTTGATTCTCCAATTACTTTCCGAAAAGATCTAGAAGATATAATTTAAATGTATATGAGCCAGAATATTACTAGACATTCACCTAATCGTTATGGCTTAAATCTAATTACTGTTTTTTAATCATTGCAATCATATCTCTTGTCTCAATGCCTGCATTAAAGAATATCATCATGATTAAACTAGACTTGAAGTTACGTTATATTAACAAATATCACCTCAACTGCACAAAGCATGAAAACAGCACAACAGTATACAGTTCATCAGAAAGTCAAAATCAGAAACGGCAAAAAACAAGTACTTGGATGAAGAAAAAAAAAAGCATATAAATACATCATTTTTTTAAAAGCACAAGCTCAATAAGACAGCTTTTCACAACCTCACATTTTAAAAATGAGCTTCACATGTAAAAGGGCACAAGTCCGCATTTCAATGACGATCATCTTTGCATGATACAACGTACATACAACCCTCTAGCTCTGAATATCGCAGGCATATGCACTCTCCCCCTCCTTCCCCCAAATCACAACACAAACCACTTCCTCTCATCTGCACTTTATCACACAATATGTCACTAACATCACCTTATACCCACCCTAAATCTACCCCATGAAAATGAAGTTATATCCAATTTTACACAAAAGTACAAGAACACCTAGATAATTACAATATGACAGAAGATGTAGAAAGAAACATCTGAAATCTGAAACATTCTTTGATCAAACTGCAGCAATATCGGAACTCTTGAAATGGCACTGTCAGTGGAAGCATCATCTTTTCACAGAATGTACTAGAAAAAAAATATTGTTATCGTCTTCTCAGATCCATAAAGACATTAGCTCATATTATCTTGTACAGAGTTAATGCCCTTCTGGCTCCAAATTGAGGCTTTATTATCTGTTCAGAGTTAAAAGGGCATTAAATGATATTTTTTAGCATAAATTCGTTGTGTGCTCTTAACCAACAATATGACCACACACTTCATATTCTGTTACATCATACAGATGATGAAAGCTACAAAGCTCTATGCAACGGATATGAGTTAACGTCCTTCTGCATGGCACTCAATAGATGGATACCCTTTCCAATAAATAAGTAAATTTATTTCACATACCCATACTTCACTACACTTGTTTTGGCAGTCCCATAAGTTGACTGAGATGACTGTTGCCTGATGTTGCCTGACATTGCAACAACTACAGACATCGAGTTTTGACTACTGGGACCCTGAAATTCCCTATACCATGAATCTTGGAAAGAGGCCTCCCAAATAAAGAATCTCATATTTGAAATATCTGTCCATGAAAATGTTAGGTTATTCAAAAGCAATTATATCCACAAGATTTCTTTTTAGCGCAATTATGGCTAAAAGTTCTCAGAAATGTAAACTCATTTGTCTAAATTACCCTTTCAAAATTTGAATCTCTGGCAATTATTTAAATGACTAACAAAATTTCTCAGGGCCTTTCTGTAAAATCCATACAGAAATGGTTTTCTGCATCATCCAAAACAAAATAATAAAAGTAGAAATTTGTATTGTTAATGACATTTTGAAACATCTGTTCAGCATTACTGGGTAGTAATACAACTGTATTATTGGCAACTTAAAACTGTAGCGCAAATTATTTCATTCTCATTTCCAAGTTCATGTATATGTATATACCTTTGCCTTTGATACCCACTTTTAAGCTTCTTACAGCAATCTAGACGGTGCTTTTCTGTGATTTTTTTTCTAGTACATTCGGATCACATTCCAGTACAAACACGTACTGATATACATATCTCTTCTCTTGCATTGATAATTGATAAAATCACACCTTTGTATTTTGAAATTACAAGACATCAAAAGTAGCTAATACTAGTCACGTACATGATTATCAATAATTTTTGTTAAAATTCATTACAACTACTTATTGTGATTATTACGTGAAGCACATCTCCTTAATCCTCTCAGAATAATATGGTCAATTTGTCATGAGATAGTCTATAGTCCCACATGTAAGCTGTCTTGTAGGGAAAGGGGCAAAATTTACAGGTTCCAAGAAGAACACATTGTGTTGTTTACGTTTTGTAGCACATGTTTGGCGAAATGAAATCCAAAGAACGAATTGTCCGTTCAGAGCCAGAACGGCATTGGCTCCTTGTCGTAGACCCCGTTCTCACTCACTTTGAAAGTGGTCTTAGTTAGACCGCTCCAGAGGAACGGGTCTTGAGGAACGGTTTGCGAGCGTTCACACTCCGAGCAGTTTTTTATGGCTCAAACCACTCCATGAGTCAAAGTGGTCTTGTTGCTATGGCAGCTCAGTTCAGCAGCTCAATTTTTTTCGCGCGCGGAATACCAACCGTATGTACCGTACTACATGTTTCGCACGGAACGTCACTAGCTCACTTCCGCTCAAAGTACGCTTCCGTTCACATTGCACGTTCCTCAAGACCACGTCCGGAGGTGGTCTTCTGGAGCGGTCCAGAAGTCCACTTCCTGGACCACTTTGACCGTTCTCACTCACCTAAGAACCGCTCCTGAGGAACGGGTCTAAGTTAGACCGCTCCAACGAAGTGAATGAGAACGGGGTCATAGTATACAAGGTAACGCCCCTCTGGCTCCAAACAGACAAAATATACTCGGCCCCCTGATATCAAATGAGAGTCTATTCATTGGGAGTGTTTTTACACTTTTTTCCCCTACCACTCTCTATCCAGTGGAATATAATTACGAGGGAAACAAACTCTCTTTCAAGATAATTTGGAGGAGCCAGACCATTTACGATGTCTGCTTGAAAAACAAGGAAGTCATTTCACCGAGTCCTTTCCGATGAATATGTATTTACCATGATGAGAGGCTTACAGAACTTAATCCGTATAAAAAATAAAAAATAAAAAGTTCAGGAAATTCACCAAGGAGAGGAATAAATAGGGGCACATCCCCTGTACAACATGTTTCCACAGGGATACAAACTACTGATAAAACCTATGTCTTTCCTTTTCTTTTTTCAATGTATGCACATGTATAGAAATATGCCACAAAACATTTATGTTGTCACCAGTACACAGTTTATGGGACCTATATCCAGAGGTGAAACATTCATTTTTCCCGGTTTCTGAACTTTTTTTTTATTTTGGAAAGAAAGATAAATTCAAGTTTTATAAGGTCTCCTGTGAAAACACGCGGATTAAGTTACAAGCATAAACAGCTTCTCTGATAATCAACCATAAAATAATCATTCCAAATCTTGTCTTGAACTGACACTTTAAAAGCATGCATTCACATTCGCATTCACATTTTCTACTTCATTATTTGTCCTACTTCTTTCCAAGCAGTCTCCACAAATCATTTCCCTATGCTTGAAAGCACACGTTGCTCCTGTTAAACTGTTACCAGGGCAACCACAAACATTACATTTCTCAGCATCCCCTTTTTTAATATAACAATAGACAACCATTGATTTTTTTTTAAAATACACAAATGCACACACATGCAATGTCGATATAGTATTTACACACATAATTTTACAGTTTGTACTAGCAATATATTCATAAGTTTATATTTATATAATATAAGCATTATATATATAGTCACAGTGTTACTCATAAAACATGCAAACACAGGAATACCAGGTTTGTGTTCTCTTATTTACAGTGCAAGAACTCTCTCTCTCTCTATCAACAAGTTTAAACCAGGGTCGCGTCTTATGAAGAGTTACGATCGATCCATATCAATCGCAAGCCCTCTCAACAATCGCAAGTTTGTAGTCCCCTATCTCTTTCATATGTACATATTTGCGATTTATTTAAATCGCAAATAAGTTGCTATTAATCGCAACTGTTATAAAACGGGGCCCAGAACAATTTGTCGTATAAAGCATCTAATCATTAACCGGCATTACCTGATGTCTATACCTACTCTGTGAGTAGCAATATCCCTAACATTTTTCAACACAATCATAATTTTGATAATATTCTATATATATGTACACATTACATTGTTTTACCCAAACAACATTTCCATTTGTAAGTTTTGACAAAACCATAATTTTCTAGATGGCAGATCCTTAGGATAAGCTCTTTATCCTACGCCTTTAACTTTGTGCCAGATACATATTCAAATGCAAGAAGAAGAAAAATCATATTCTAAAAGAATAGCCATAGATATTATAGAAATTTGAAATAAATACCATCATAGACTCCACCACAACTTAAAGAGTGATTCTTAATGTACAATATACATTGACATCCACTTTCATAAAAGCATAACATGTATCACAAAACTCCATTTAGGCTTTTTTTTCGTACAACTTTCAACAATAATGCTCCAAAACAGAGGTTGTCCCTCCAGAAACGAAACATTTTTTGTGTAGTTCATATTCATTTCTGAAACAGTTCATTGGTAGAAAATGAGATATCTTATAGTGCTGATGAGATATATAGTATAAGTAGGAAAACAGTCTTTTTTTCAGATAAAAACTCCATTTTGCATATCATAATCACACACTTGCCCCTTAGTTAAGTCATCACACTTTTTATTGAAAACACCACATCGCCCGAGCTGAGGTAACTGTCGTAAGTTTGAACAGCAAGAGGCCAATAAGGTCACTTCTCAATTTTTTCCGAACCCGTCATCGACATCGATTATTCATTCTTTTTTTTTTTTATCCAACAAAACATTCACGATTAGATTCTGATATGGCCTGGACCCAACACTAGCAGCGTTTGTTCGAGCTTTCCGCGTCGCTTGAGATATCTGATCTCCAATTGTCTTTTTAACAACAGAACAGAGCAAGGGAAACGTGAATAGATAGAGCTAATTTGACGATTATTGACAGAAGGAACACAAGCCCTAATTTTTCTACATGTGTACCTGTGCCTTCATACGGTGCTAAAGTCACCATGATGAAAAATGTTGTTTGGTTTCTCAGAAAGGTGGTCTGCATTGGCAAACAGCCTGAAGGTCCTATCAGAGGGACCTTGGTAATAGATTAGCTAGTGTAATTATGTACTGCTAAAGCAAACCAATTAAGTGTTTAGAACAACAAAGGATCATCTAATGGTAGTCCAAAGACCACTACTACCCTACCCTTTCAGTAACCCATTGCTTTATACCAGTTTGCAACGGAAATGCATTCCATATACACCTCTATCTATTCCTACAGCCTGAAATTTGTTTCCACAACTACATACCAGAGTATTTCCATATTACTCCTCTCTGTCACACCCCTCCAATAAACTCCTGAGCCCACAGGCAAGCCTTCCTTCCCGCACCACTAGCTGGAGATAAAAATATTACTTCTGTATTACCCCCAAATTGACTTTTGTAAAAGTAGCTATCATCGTAGGGAGGAAAATGTAAATAGCTTTAAGGTGGTATTGGTACAAAGTCACAGTTTCACAGATTTTTTTCGAGGGGGAGAGACTGGTTTGGCAATAAGGGAGGGGCGTTTCTGAAAACAGTTTAAACACCTGGTACATTGGAACTAACAACTAGTCCCAGAGGTGTTTCCCCATGTCTGTTTTGAAGCCAATTATCCCTACTCCCAGGCCAATTGGGCGTACATATCTGGCATGAAAAAGAAAAAAAATCCATATTGTATATTTTGGATCAGACCCAAAATTATTTCTTTTTATAGTATGGGAGTAAAGTCAAAGGAGAGAATGATAGGCTGTTAGCAAAACCTGGTATGAATCTTTAAGATTTTAGATATTGGACAAAATAAAAGATATATGGTACCAGTTTCCTTTGTTGCCACTGTTGTCAATATCATCTTCATTTCTTATATCCCCATTATAATCAATTATCTATGTTTATGAACAGAAATAGCAAGTGCCTTCTTTCATTAAGTTTTGTTGGCACAGTTAAATACTTTTCCTGCAGAAATGTTTACACTACATGGCAAATAAATCAGAATTTTAGCCGCTCTGCTTTAAACTAAAAACCCTGCTTAAAATCTCTGTAACTGTAAATGGACCAAAAAACAAACAAAATTTAATGTTGGGGATAGGGTGGGTTAGCATATGAAAATAAAGTTTGTTACCCCCATGTGTTGCATAAAATGCAATAAAAGGAAGGGCGATTTATATACCATATGGAAGTTTCCAATGCCTCCTCCTCCTTTATCTGTCACTCTATCTCCCTCCTCACAAGTCATTATATATATCTAGCAACGATTTCCTACTGGTGTTGGGTCCAGGTTTGTGTTTAATAAAAATGAGTAATATACATAATAAACTGATATATTGATATCATTTGATTGATTGTTTTCTGCTGTTCATCGTCTCCCACTCGTCTAAGATGTAATACACAATCACGCCTGAAGCTCAGTATAAAAATCCTCTCATTTACAATCTCCAATACATCTGTATTAAAACACTTTGCATAAGTGACCCTGGGCCTAGAAAATATACCCCAGTAAGGCGTCAGGATCACACACATCTGTCGTTCGACTTGCATCTCATTATCAATTCTTTGGAAGAATTAGATAAACATTCGTAAAAAGTCATCCTTCCTGTGCATGTATGCTTCTCCTTCATTGAAAAAATGCACAAGAAGGATGAATTTTCAACTTGACTTTTGCCAATACGTTCTACATTCCTGAATCTGTTATTGTAGAATATAGAATACAGCCTAACAATAATTGTATTTGAAATGTTTTAATTTACTTATGCAGCATTGCGTGAGTATTAATTTTCCCGTCTCATACGTTACAAGTTCCTTTACGTTTGTTTTTTCGATTGATGAATCCTCGGTTAGTTTCCCATGTGTCACATTTTATTCTTTTCTTTCTTGGTGATGTTCCTACTTCTCCCTCCAGTTACATAACTCTCAAAAACTTGGGCTCAAAGAGATGGGCTATCGATATAAAGATCATTCCAGAAATTCAAAAATTTGAGGATGAAGAGAAAAAGTTATTTAAAAATCTGCCGATCCAGTACTTGTAAGATATATCAAATGAATATGAATAAATTTTTCTTCATGATTTTCCTTCTTACAAAACTTTTGAAATGCTATTTCTATTGTGCTGATAGACTTTTCCCCACCAACATCTATCTCTTTGATATTTTGTTTAAAATTTCAACAAGATGCCATAAAATGGAAAAAGTATATTCTAGATTGTACCTTTTCGCTTTTTTACATCTTTTTCCATGTACATGTATGACAAAAGAAGGGCATGTAAATTGACAAATTAGAAAAAGCTCCATTTCTTATTTGACTTGTGAAAGAGAAAAATTTGAGGAAAGAAGTCTTTTTCATACGAGTCCTCGAGTCTCATTACCTCTCATAGAATAATTCAATCATTTCATCTCTCTATGTAAATCGCTTTCTTTGAAGAAAAAAATTAAATTCCATGTTTTGTAAAGATGTCATATTGTTTGGTGTAAATGAAATTTTGATTATTCACCTTTCTTCCAACTAAACACCAATAACGGTACTAAGAAAGGGCTTTTTCCATTGCATGTTTGTCACTATTTTGTGCTTAGTGTATTGTCTAAGCAAAACTCTAAATTTAGCCCATTTGAGATAGTACCATTATAGCTTCATACACATTTTCAAATGGGTAAGATTTTTGTGTAACCAGTTTCCAACTTCAAAACTAAGATGAGGAATGAACCGACGGATAGATATTTTCTGCTTGGGCTATCGAATGGCCAACATTATTTGTTAGCCCGAGCCCATAAGGCAAGTGCTTGACTGTTTAAGGAACCCTGCATTGTACAAAAGAATACATCCTTGAAAATAGAAACCCAGTATGGAATGAATTATAAAAGACACTACATGAAGCTACTTTCCGATTCGTATAAAACATTGTTTGTATAAACCCAACTTTACATCCACGTCATTCTTCACTTCCCTTCCACTTTTCGACCAGCTTGGGTTCTCCGACCAAAGGAAAAGTGGTACAGGAAGATACTGAAAACCTCAAAAATACACAAAAAACTTGGAATGAACTCTTGTCAATCACACATTCTGTTACATGTAAACACACCAAATATTGGAGTCACATCCATGCTTCCCTATTCCAGCCACCTCACTCTTGCACATATTTCCCCCAACTTGAAAAAAAAAAGCTTGTTGAACTCCTTGACCGAAGGATGCCTCTGATGCCATCGTTTCCATGTAGATGCTTGCAGATACCCCTGTTGACATGGTGATGATGATGATGATGATGATGCTGTAAAGCCCCGCCCCTTTGTGAAGATAAGATGGGATAATGGAATGACGTCTCACCATCGAGGTATCTTTCCTGATGAAGCCGTTAAAATGTTGAACAGCTATCTATTGAAGAAACCTGCTGACAGACAGGGAAAGATTGGAATGAACAGAAACCAGGACACTTTCTAGAGCATTTAACATTTAACCATCACCTTGCCTACCACCTGCTGCTGTGGACACTAGTTATTCCTGGAGCTCTGCATCTGGGTAAGCTTTGGATGACGGATGACACAATCTCACAGCATCTGCTCTTGCTGCCTGACCTTGACAGCAATCTGTACTAGCCTCTTGTGTTAAGCCGACTTGGTTGCAAGCAGAAACTCAAGGAATGAAATGACAGTTCCTACAAAGTGTCTACTGCGGCTGTTGCTGCTGCACTTTCCCTAAGGTTTCTGGTGCCACAGGATGCTGCTGACCATGATGCTTCTCCGCTGCTGCTGCCGCTGCTGCTGCAGCTGCTGCTTCTTGGTTGGCCTTGATAGGGTCCGACCACCGCCTCTTGGGTGGTCGCATCAGCTTCATATGGGGCATCTCTAAGGGCTTGTCAGGGACGATGTTGGAGTTCTTGTCGATACCATGATCAGGGACCTCGTAGGGACCCCCACCAGGGTGGACTTGGTGTTCCATCTGCTGCTGTTGACCGGGAGAGGGAGAGGAGTGACTGCTGCCACTGGGTGTGAGGCCTTGCACAGGAGGAGGTGCATGGTGGTGATGGTCTCCAGGCTTCTGGAGCTTCTCTTCCATCCGCCTACGCTTCATCTCAGGACTGGACATGCCCTGGACCTGCATCCTGGCGTGATGCTTCTCTGCCTCTGAGTCCTCTTTAAGTCCCTGCTTACCATTCTCTATGACAGTCAATGATACGCACACATCTCCAACCGCAAGGGTGTGGCATTGCAAGCCGTAGCATTTTAGTGATAGCTCTGGCCTGACTGAAGACCAGCCTTGACCGAAAACAAAAAATGGGTGCTCGTAGGGTGCTTCCACAGTTACCTACAAGTAACAAGAGATAAAATATTGAACCACTTCATATCAAACTTTACACATTAATACAATTTTAACAATCAGTAACCCCTCATATTGATAAAAAACATTTTGATTTTAACAGTATTCCCTAGTCTAATGAACCAAAGTTTTATAAATTTGCAATAGTCCCAAACATTTTGTAAAGAATGCTTATTACATGGTGAAACTAGTCAGTATCAGGTTTTGAGATGTACATGTAAATACTTATCTAGTGCATCCTGGCTCATGAATGCTTTGAAAATTAAATCTACAAGTAATTTGCAACTAATTGTGACTGCTAATGTGAAAGGACCCAAAGAACTAAGTCCTATGCCAGGTATTTGATGATTGATGATTAAGGCCTTAAGATCTAAGGGAATTGATGCACCACTTCAATTTCAAACACAAGAACTTTCCGTTCCACAAGAAACTGCTCTATCCACAGATTCTCTATTGCAGTGTACCTCAGGGATGCCAGTCAAAATTGATTATAGGGCTTTAAAATCACTTAGAATGAGCTATTTTGTACACAAAAAAAAACCTAAACTATGGTCTGAAAATAACACGCCAGGGCCTGAATTAAGGCTATTGCCTGAAAACTGGCATCCCCGGTACCTAGCTTTTGATGCCGTCGGGAATTTTCCAAATGAACCTACCTGAGCTTTGTGTTCACCAACCAGGAAGCCAATGAGCGCCAGACCCCGGTGCGGCTCCTCGTCTATCCTCAGAACCGTACTGGAGTCAATCTTGAGGCCCTCGGTGCTCCCGGCACTCTGCACAAAGTCATCTGTGGTCAGGTCCTCCACCCGCTTCAGCACCGAGTTAGCCAGCTGGATGATGGAACCGCGGGTGAAGTAAGATGGCAGGGTGTTCGTGGGTTGGTGAAGGGGAGGAGGACCTGAAACGGGGGAAGCAGTGGGTGCGGGGTTACCCCCCTTGGGGTGGCGCTGATGGTGGTGGTGATGAGGGTGGTGGTGGTGGTGGGGGTGGTGGGGATGCAGCTGATGGGGAGAGGGGTGGTGCTGGGTGCTAGGGGAAGTCCTAGTGGTCTCTGCGTGCCCGGGAGGATGGTGGTGATGAACATCAGTAGCTCCTGGTATAAATGAAAATAATATAGAGACCAGATTCTTGTATTAAACCCGATGGGAAATATCAGATAATTTAGTAATCAAGAGCTACAGTCGAAAGCAATAACATTTAAGTAGTAACTTGTGCAACATGTCCAAAACCATTAACCATGCCTTTCTCCAAACTTGGCTTACGTACAAGCAGTTCAAAATAGATACAAAGAACAGCAGATCATGAAATGTTGTCATCATTATCTGACTAATATTGTTAAAGCTTTGAGGGAGTTACCTCTTACAAGATACCCATTGACTACAATTGGTCAAATATTAACTACAATGGCAGATTCATTCAACAGCCAAATAAATCAAGTGTCCATGGAAGTTACCATTAAAGGTAATACAAAGTTTTGGTATGGGGTCATGATTTTTGTTCAAATGAACATATTGGAAGCATATGCGATCCTAATTTTATCAAAATCTACCGGGAGCACCGGTAAATTTTGATATTTCATTTTTCTCGAAAGCAGAAGTGTTTTAGGGGCTAAATTTTCTGGTGCTTATAATACATCCACAGGGATATTCAATTATTTGAAAATTGTAAAGAATAATTATCCACCAAATTTTCAAAATTTCCCAAAACTTTGTATTACCTTTAATGGTAAAGTATTATCAATGGTTTTTTGTTTTTTGCAACGGGGCCCTGGATTAAATGACTAACCAATATCACCACTTACAAAAATTATGAAAAAATGAAAAGAAAAATACCATGTAGCATGTGAAAAGATTACACATAGAGTCATATTCATCTTGTATCCATATGATCGTATCACACTGAATTTACAATATATGCGTATTTTATTTCCGGGTACATTGATATGCAGTGAGATGGTATCATCTGCCAAAAGCACTTAAATTGAGATTTTCAACAATGAAAAAGAGAGGAAAATGTCTAACTATGACTATTTCATGCCCGTCCATTTTGATTGTAAATCACTAATGTCTGTTTTTTAGAATACAAAGTATGTAGATTCACTGACATTTCTACAAGTACCTTAATATACATGTACATGGTCAGTACCTGAATTTAGATTGTTGGCTACGTAGTACTAGTAGGCCTGCAATCAATGTATTGCTAATGTACATTACCAAATAAATGGAGAGAGAGAGAGAGAGAGAGAGAAAGAAAAAAGAAAGAAAAAGAGAGACATAGAGAGAGAGAGAGAGAGATAGAGAGAGACAGAGACAGAGACAGAGACAAATACAGAATCAGAGAGAGATAGAAATGCAAAAAAATGCAAAGAGGATTATTTTTCGGAGTACAATACATGTATGTCATGATGACAAATAATGAAACAGAAAAGGTCACTTTTGCTTCATTCAAACTACATTAGGGGATGAACAAATTGGCTTCAAACCCTTTCTCATCTAATCAAGACAAATACTAACATTAATACAGAATAAGCAGCCCTCACATGAAGACTGACTTCGAGAAAGAAAGAGTAAAAGAGAGAGAGACAGAGAGACAGAGAGAGACAGAGAAAGAGAGAAAGAGAGATAGATAGATAGAGGGGGTGGGGGAGGGTGAGGGGCCAATTAATTCATCAATGTCAAAATATTGTCTAAACTTGAAATGTGTTAATTGAACGGTAAACACTTACATATCTGAGGTGAATTCTACTCTGTGAACACACGCTAAACATCATTACTGTAAATTGTATTTCTTTTGTACCTGACAACCACGAAACCTACAGCTCTAAGTCCTAAATGAGAGACTTTGTAACTGAGGATCACTGCTTTAATTTTTAATGGGCACTCGTGCATGGTATTGAACCCGGATCTTCCTGGTTACAGAATCACAGGGTTATTATGCCTCCTTTATGAGACTAAAGCATTTTAAAAAACCTCTTTACATGTTGACAATAATGGCTCATTGCTTGAATAAATTGGAAAAGATACAGAGTACTTGTAAGGCCCTTATAACTCAATATTGATATTTCGCCCGCATTTGAGATAAAAAATCTGAAAATAATTCATTATTTTGAAAAATTCCATAAAAAAATTGTTTGTTAAATATAAAAAATTATGAATATATTAACATCAAGAGATCTTGCAAATATTAAATAGTGAAATAGTTGAAATAGTGCCTTATTATGAGCTGAGAAAATGTGACGGGAAACTCGCAATTCAGTTTCTTTGGCCTAATCTCAATAAAAAACATCTTTGGAATATTCAACATTTATCTCTACACTACGGTACTCCTATGAAGTGAAACACTGAACAAAACCAACCAACCGCAGCATCCTGCTGCGTGGGAATTAACCAAAAGTATCGGACTGACCTCGTCATTCTTAACAATTCAATTCAATTCAATTCAATTCTGGTTTATTGTAAATAAAAACATACTGAATAAAAAGTCCAGAGACTCATACACTTCATTTTACAAATTATAAATACATACAAGAATAAAAGAAATCAATATTTTTAGTAATCTTTATATTAATTACTGATTCTAATGAACTAAACACAACTAATATCAAATAATCGTGAAATAATACATGATGTAATTATGCGGTTATCACATTTAAATAGTAAAATATAGTGTCACCATTTTCTAAATGTCATATTCAATTTTGTCATACACTTTCAAATTAATAAGTAATCTTTTTTACTAGTTAACATTTCTTTTAGAAAAATATTTCTATATAGATGATTATCCAATCAAACACGATATTTCATAATTTTTCTTTACAGTATTCATACCAAGAGACACATGAAACAAACAAAACCGCAGCCTCCTGCTGCGTGGGAATTAACCAACAGTTTCGGACTGACCTCGTGATTCTGAACGATCAAAACACGATACCATTCACAACATCCTTTTTCTTTGAAATAAGAAAGAAAGAAAAAGTCCCGCTCACTCATAAAAAATTGTTGGCACGACTATTCTTTCAATTAAAGTACTACACCCTGTAGTTACTAATTATGTTGAACAATACTTTTATACAGTGGTATTACACAAAGCAATCATGGTTTCTGTCTTTGGGAGGTCCTAGGATGTTTAAGTAACCTTGGACATCTTTCAATTAAAAACTTTAAGCAGAGGTGTCATGGTCTAGTGGATAGGTTGCCAGACTTTTAATCACATGGTTCACAGTTCAAGTCTGGCTGCTGCACTAATACCTTTTGGGGAGATATTAATCTACATTTGACACTCTCAACCCAGGTGTAGTAATTGGTTACCCCTTACCCGGTCTAAGAAATTCCTTGAAACTTGAGCACCTTATCATGGTAGCTTGGCTAATGTCAGGGTAATAATATGACTGCAAAGTCAGAACAGTATCAATACTGATCAGGCTATACCCTGGGTAAACAAGACATATTATAACTATAATTATTATTGCTATAAAAGTATCTGAACCTTACATAAATCTATTGTAACATTTATGAAAAACATAAAAGATTATTGCAATGTAAAATGATTCATATAGCATGTTAAATGTGTAATTTACCTCTTTGATTTTGTATGTTTTCCTAGAAACAAATGCCGTGATTAAACTTAATCATAAACTTCTTTGCACACAATTCATTTGGGGAAAAAGTATTTGCCACTGTAAAGTTCAATGGATTTTGTGTCATGGCAATAAACTTACGGTATATAACTACCCGGTAGTACTTTTGAATCCCTGCATGTCTATTTCCAATCCCTTTCTAATTGCCTCAGTAACTTCTATCTCACATCTCCCCCTCTCCCTCCCTCTCTCTCCCTCTCCCTCTCTCTCTCTCTCTCTGTCTCTCTTCTCCTCTCTCTCTCTTCTCTTTATCTCTCTCTTTTTTCCCCTCTCTCTCTCTCTCTCTTTAATTGCCTTTATTGGGCCGTATTCAATTCAGTTTGTGGATTAAGCTTGTATTTTACTTGGCTCAGAAATATGTCTTTTAAACTAGTATTTAGATCACATCCGAGCAAGCCTACTTTAAGGTTAAATACTTAGTGATAAGCATTGTGACGTCACATTGTCAATCTAAAATAATGAGCAATTAATGTGCCGCAATAAGTAAAATTGTGAACGGCTCCATGATGAAGGCGTATGAAAACTGTGTCTGCCAATCAAGGCCTAAAAAAAAAGGTTCAAGTCTGTTAGGGAGATGTCTTAAACTCAGGGTGAAAAAACTTAGCCAGAAGCTTTTACTGAATACCAAAGTTGGTTAATTATTTTACCCAAGCCAAAAACTGAGTAAAATACAAATAGCGGTATTTCTGACATGAGTATTTAAATGAATACCGGCCCGAGCATACACCTTTCATATTAATCCCATTGAGCCCTTAAAAAAAGGTTCAAGTCTGTTTATAATAGGGAGATGTCTTAAACTTAGGTTAAAAAAACTAAGCCAGAAGCTTTAACTGAATACCAAAGTTGGTTAAGTATTTCACCTACCATAAGCCAAAAACTGGGTAAAATACAAAAAGCGTTATTTCTGACATGAGTATTTACCGAGCGTATATACCTTTCATATTAATCACATTGAGCCCCCCCCCCCTCTCCCCCACCCCCCTCATTCCAGATCCCAGCACATCTTTAACATGTTCAATACTAAAGGTCAATTCAATATCATCCCATCATTCTATTTTGATCAAAACATACAAGTACAAGCTAGCAACTGGAGAGCTTTTCCGGTACCAGTAGAATTGGCTGAAAGGAGTAAACTTAGCCTGCCTCTCATACAAATCCTAAGGTCTCGGTATCACAGTAGTGTGCAATAAGGCAATGGTCTGTTATTTTTGTAACAGGCAATATCCATTAAAAGCTTGTAGTCTACTACAAAAATAAACCTGACACTGGGTTTAGGTTTGTGTTCGAATCAGGGTTTAACAAAAGAAGTTAGTCTATGGTCTAAGTTTTCTTTTCGTTAAACATGATTTAAGGCCCCGGACAGGGTTTACCTAAATAGCACTATACAAACATGGGTTCCACAAGTAAAAAGTTGAAATTTTCAAACTGACATGTACTGCTGTTTCTTTTGCACAGTA